CCAGCTGTGTCCCTAAACTCCTAATCCCACACCCACCCTCTGAACTGACCCCATTCTAAAAATCTATAAATCTGCCTCTAAAGATGCCACTCTCTCTCCCTATTCTCCACTTCTCTATGTAGAATTCTCTTCTGGCCTGTGAATTTCTCCTCCAGAACGGGGCGAATGTGAACCAAGCAGACAGCCATGGCCGGGGCCCGCTCCACCACGCAACCATCCTTGGCCACACTGGGTAGCTCCCATCTCTGGGTGGCAGTGATGATGGCCTTGGGGAGGAAGGTTCCAGACGGGGTGAGCTGCTGACTGAATCTGGCTGTCCTCTCTAGACTGGCCTGCCTGTTCTTGAAACGGGGAGCTGACCTGGGAGCGCAGGACTCTGAAGGCAGAGACCCTCTGACCATTGCCATGGAAACAGCCAATGCTGACATCGTTACCCTGTAAGGATGCCGAGGGGCGGGGCTAGTGTTTGCACCTTTCAAATGGGTGTGGCTAATGCCAAGAACCCAACTAGTCAAGGAAAGCCTGGGTAAGGGAGGGGTCAGCTCTTGGACCAGGCAATCAACATGATGCTCCAAGTGCTAACAGGTGTGGAGTAGGGACGGGGTGGGCAGGGTCCAAGGATGGTGAGCTCACCCTGAGAGTCACCATGCATCAACTTTATTAGGTGAACAGATGAATAAGCAACCCAGCTCAAAGGACAGGAAGTTAGGGTGGGGGGTTGGTGTGCTTTAGATTGTCATTCATTTTTTAACTCCCTCCCCTTTAGGCTCCGATTGGCAAAGATGAGAGAGGTCGAGGCTGCCCAGGGCCAGGCAGGTAAAGTACCTCTCTACCCCACCCTCACCAGGCTCATCATTGTAACTCTGGGCTTCTGGCCCCTGGTGACCTGTACCCCTTATGTCCAGCTTCACTGATTAAGTCTAGTATTTATTTACTCAGTAAGTACAAATGTATTGTGCATATTCTACACACTGGAGCCTCAAAACAGAAAAGGCAAGGGCTCTGCCCTGAGAGCTCAGGCGTCTCCTTCACCCGCTGTTCCCAGCAAACTCCCCTGAACTGTCCCAACTGTCCCCCATCCGAGGCCCTTCCTCCCTTCCCTCAGGCGATGAGACATATCTCGACATCTTCCGTGACTTCTCCCTCATGGCATCCGACGATCCGGAGAAGCTGAGCCGGCGAAGTTACGACCTCCACACGCTTTGATTCCAGGCTTTTGAGGTCCTGCGCCCCCCTCCCTTCCTAACCCGCCACCAGCCTGAGGCCATTAAAGTCTTTGTGCTTTGCTCTTCCCTTCGTAGTTCACTTATTGGGCACCACCTCCGGGCCCGCAGCAGGTTGGGCACTGTAGCTCCTGGGATGCAGAATGGAAGCGAGTTTTCCAGCGGGAGTCATACTAAGGGCGACTCCCAGGGAGTGGAGTGGCCTCAGCCCTAGCACAGGGCGGCCCTGGGCGGGGCTCTTAGGGGAGCTGGCGTCCGGCCGGCCGGCCGGGCTGGAGAGACTGGCTAGGCCACCCCGACCCAGAAACCTCCCCGGAATGTGGTGGTTCAGCACCCGCCCCCTCAGAAATTCTCCACGGGAAAGAGAAGAAGGAAACTGCAGGTCCCCGAGCCCCGGAAGGCCGCGCCTCTGTCTCCTCAGAGTGGCGGGACTGGGGACTCCCGCCCCCAGGGAGCTGCAGACGTGAGGTCTGGCACACCTGAGACCGGTGAGGCCGTCGCGGCCACATCCGGAGTGACGCGGAGCGCCGCTGCCGGAGCCGCCCTCTGGCCCCCACCCCCGCTCGCGTCCCCAGCCCAGCCCGTCCTCCCAGTGTCTCCAGTTCGCCGTTCTCAGTTCCCACCTCCCCCGAACCCTGCGTGCCCGCTGGGGCGGTGGGCGGAGCCGTCTCTTAAAGGACCAGGGGCTGCAGCCCTTCGGCCACTTCTGGGGGCGGAGAGGACTTCAGCAGCTGCCGAGGCACCCCGGTAAGGCGATAAGGCGGTGGCGCCCGGGTCTGAGACTCCCGGCCGCTTCTGTCAGAGTCCTCGGACAATCGCAGCTACGACTTAGGGTGCATCCTCGCTCCCCAGCGGGTTCAGAGGCACCTCCGCCATCAGCTCCGGGGAGCCCCGCCGCCTCCATCTCTTGGAACCCGCGCCGGAGCCAGGCCAAGACCAGGCCAGCGACTGGACCCCGGAACCCTGCGTGGGCTCGTTCACAGAGACAGCGATCTGCCCGAGAACTCCGAAGCTGGACCCTTCAAAGAGTCAGCCTTGCGCTCGACCGTCACCTGCTGGTTGGATTCCGGAAAGCCACTATCTAAAGACCACAGAAAGGAATCGCAGACCACCCAGAACTGAATGCGTCTGGACCTAAACCTCTCTTCTTCATGGTCTTTTCTGTGCTCTTTCCATCCGTTCTCCAAACCTTTCGGGCGTTTCTGTGCCCGGAAGACATCCCGGACCACCAAGGTAGCTGGGGTGCGCCCCAAATCTTGCTGCCTTATACTCCAGCCAGTGCCTCCAGCTTAGAGTCTGAAACTTATGACCCAATTCTGCACACCCAGGAAGTTCTGCCTTTTCTTCTCTTTTGGTGTCCCCAGTACTCCCCAAAATTTCTCCTCCTCCTGTGCCCTCTTCACCCCCCTCCTTTGGGGGCCCCGTGACCCTGAATGTGGGGGGCACGTTATATTCCACTACTTTGGAGACCCTGACTCGCTTCCCAGACTCCATGTTGGGGGCCATGTTTAGGGCTGGCACTTCCATTCCCCCCAGCCTTAACCCCCAGGGAGGTGGCTACTACTTCATAGACCGAGATGGCAAGGCCTTCCGGCACATTCTTAATTTCCTGCGGCTGGGCCGCCTGGACCTGCCCCTAGGATATGGGGAGACAGCCCTTCTCAGGGCGGAGGCTGACTTCTACCAAATCCGGCCCCTTCTGGATGCCTTGCGGGAACTGGAAGCTTCTCAGGGTGCCCCTGCACCCACAGCTGCCCTCCTCCACGCAGATGTAGATGCTAGCCCCCGCCTGGTGCACTTCTCTGCTCGCCAGGGCCCACATCACTATGAGCTGAGCTCTGCCCAGGTGGACGTCTTCCAGGCCAACCTCTTCTGCACCGACCCAGAGTGTCTGGGTGCCTTGAGGGCCCGATTTGGTGTGGCCAGTGAGGAGAGGGCAGAGGCAGGACCACACTTTCGTCTGGAGTGGGCCCCCCGCCCCATGGAACTGCCGGAAGTGGAGTACAGGAGACTGGGGCTGCAGCCACTGTGGACTGGGGGGCCAGGAGAGCGACGGGAAGTGGTGGGCACTCCGGGCTTCCTGGAGGAGGTGCTGCGGGTGGCTCTGGAGCATGGCTTCCGGCTAGATTCTGTTTTCCCTGACCCTGAAGACCTGCTCAACTCCAGATCTCTGCGCTTTGTCCGGCACTGAGCTGAAAAATGCGAATACTGCCTTCAGTTTGACTCTAGGGGAGTGGAGGGGGAAAGAAGAGAGCAGCAAAGGGGACAAATTTTCCGCAAAGCCTCTCCCTAGCTCTGCTTTAGGGGCTGTGAGAGCCAGAGGTTCCAATGCACCTCACTGGAGCCCGGATGTGGACAGGACTCCCCATGCTCAAGCCCACCCACCGAGGGCTCACACAAGTGCTACAGAGGGTATGAACTGGTGCCAATGCCAGGAGGGATGGGGAAGTTTCCCCTGGCTTGTTCTCACCTGAAGCTGGAGACTTTGGTTGGAGCTCAGTATTCAGGGGCCTGGAAAAGTGGGGACACTTTCTCTGCCTATGCTAGGCCTAGCAAAACCCTGCAGGGACACCGGGGTCTGGAAGGAAGAGGAACTTTGCACTGCTCCTGGACTGTGACTTCTCCTTCTGGAACTGAGTGGCCTGGCCTGACCAATGAGAAGCCAGAACACTCTGGAACATGAGAAGGGAGATTCTTTGCTGTGTCCCAAGCCACTTACTAAGGGAGACAGAAAGGCTACGCCCCACTCTAGGCTGGCATAAGGGATGTAGGAGAATCCCCACTAACTATGGGGTAGAGCATTCCTCTGGAGATCCGAGTGTTGTAAAGGATCTGTTACTGATGGTGGAGCTGGCCATGGGAAGGAGGGTGGCGCCTTCTTGAGCCTTGGCCTTACTTCCTTCATGTGTACATGTGTGTCAGTGTGTGTCTGACTAATGTGCCAGCCTCTGACGTCCTGGCTCCCATCCGTGTTGCTGGCGATGGTATGTGCGCTAGCCTTTCTGTAGTTTCTGCATGTCCAGGCCTGTGTGGGGTTAAGAAACCCTTCGGGCACTGGGTGTGTCTATGGGTATGAGTAGACTGAGAATTAATAGCTTAACCACAAGCAGTGTGTGTGTTTACACACACATGTGTATTTACATTACCACATATGCAGGTAGGGCTGGTTGGGATTTGAATCACTAGGATCTTCCTGGTGAGAGAGGTAAGAGAAGTCACTGGGCTTAACAGGGCCTTGGAGGCCTTTATAGCATTATTGGTTGCTAAGGCAATCATAGGCCTGTTGCTAGGAGACTGCTGAGGAAAGACCCAAGGCTGCCCAAGGCAGAGAGGAGCTGAAGAGTTTGGGAGAGTCAGGGAGAATATGGGAAGGGATGGGATTTCTGCATCACGGAAGAGATGGAAAAATCATGAACGACTTCTCTGGGAGTCACTTATTATTTATCACTTACAAGAAGAAAAATAAAGTTGCTTTTGGAACCACAAACTTGTAAAGGCTGCTGAGGGCCATGTTGGGGGTGCTGTCCCTCTTGCTGCAGAAGTCCTGCTTTCTCTGCCCCTCTCCTATTAGAGATATCTTCTCCTGGTCCTCAATTCCTTGGACCCAGGTTTACTCCAGCCAGGAATGGAGCAGTGACACTATTTTGGAATGCTCTAGAACCTCCAGTTGTTCTGGAACACTCTACAACACTCCAGGCAAAGGGCTAGAACCAGGATCATAGAGCCTTCACAGCCCAGGTGGGGCCAGCTCCCCTCCAGCACCTCCCATTGGGCTTCATGTGGATGCTGGTACTGGGTGGGGCTTTCCTGGCAGCCGCCCAGGCCTGTGTCTTCTGCCACCTCCCAGCCCATGACTTGTCGGGCCGTCTGGCACAGCTATGTAGCCAGATGGAGGCCCAGTGGAAGGACTGTGAGGCCTCTTGGAACTTCTCAGCCTTTGCCTTAGGTAAGTCCAGACATCCAGGGACAAGCCCATCAACAGTCAACCCCATGCCCCAAGCAAAGTAACATGTGACTTCCCAGATGTGCCCCTCAGCTGTCACCTCAGTCCACAGCCCTCCCTGGACTCACTGACCTCTCCCTCTGGGAGAGCTTCTTTGGACCTTGGGAAAGTCAAGAATCTTCTGGGCTGCTGAGGAACTCTCTGGTCCTTGCCCATCTCCACAGATGAGGTGTCCATGAACAAAGTCACAGAGAAGACTCATAGAGTCCTGAGGGTCATGGGTGAGGTCATTGGGGAACCTCAGTCAAAGAGCTTGGATGGGCACCAAGGCGGGGCCGGGGAGGGAGGAGCTGGGCAGGGAAGGAAGGAGGGCCGTTGGAGACAGGAAGGCGTGCCCGGGGAGGTGCTGGGTGAAAGGGTGGCTGTCAGCTGGTACTGTTGGGTCCCTGGGCAAAATGGCTGCTCTCTGCCTCCCCAGAGATCAAAAGGTCTTTCTCCTCACTCCCTTTATATTGGCAATGGCTTCAAAAGACCAAGCTTCCTGAGTACACTAGAGAAGGTACTGATGGGGGGAGGGATCAAGGGATGCCTAGGATCTTGGGCAAAGGGCTATGTGGCTGAACTGCTCATCTAGCGCCCGCCCCCCTTGTCTTTCGTTTCAGCTCTCTGCACTCCTGCCTGTTGTGAGTAGAAAAGGGAAGGGTAGTGAGGACAAGGGGTTCAGGGTACCTGAGGAGAGCCTGGCAGTTAGCAGGAGCCAGTGGGATCCTCTGGAAGGGTGGAGCCTGGGCTTCCCCTCCCCAGCTCTGGTCCTGCTGTCTCCTGCAGGGGGCAGCACCATCCTGTACAACTGTTCCACCTGCCAGGGCTTTGAGGTGCACTGCTGGCCCCAAAAACGCTGCTTTCCAGGTCCTTACTCCCCACCCTGCCTCACCTCACCCAGATCTCTGAGCTCCTAAGTTCCCCCCCAGTGTCAAGGGTGGGGTCCTTTTTCATTGTTTCCTGGGTTCCCTGCAGGAAGTCATGATCTTTGGGAAGCCAGGATTCTGATCCTCTCTGTCTTTGGAACTGTCCTGTTCCTGGGTGTCCTGAGCCTTGTGGTGGAGTGAGTTGGGGAATACGGGCAGGAAACAAGTCTCACCGCCTCTGACCCACCCAGTACCTTCCACCACCCATCCTTTCTCTTTCCCCGTCAGTCCCCCTCCCTTCCCTTCCCGGACCTCCCACTGCCATCTTCCCTCAGGTTCCACCTCCTTGAAGCAAAAAGGGACTTATGAAGATGCTGACAGATCCCAGCCTCCAGCTGTAAGGAGGGTGTACCCACAACTTCCCCTCCCCTTGAGGGGGGTAGCTGGCCCCTTGGTTCCAGCTGCAGAGATTCAGTCTTCCAGACTCTGAAACTCAGATGTCCCTACAATCCCATTGTCAGAGGGCCTCCAGGACTGGGGCAGACACAGCTGGAAAGTTTCTCCCTGCCTGCCCTCACCCAATCAGATAGGGCAGTCACCAATGCCAGGAAAATATCGACAGAAGGAAAGAATCCCCTCCACACACTGCCACTCCCACACCCCTTGCTGCCTGTTCCCGTAAAGCGGGGGCTGTTTGCCCCAGAAGCTACTCTTGGCTCTCCTATGACTGACTGGGAATCCGGGAATGAGTGTTCCGGAGAACCCCCTCCCTCTCTGAGTGAGACCACATCAGTCAGTCAGTCCGCTGGCGTACTCTCCCTGCATTTAACATTGTGAAGCCCTGGCCTCCCACAAAGGCTTCCCTCCTGCCAGGCCCAACTAAACTTGTTGTGAAATGGCCTCCACCCCTGCCTGGGCTCTGTCTGCCACTGGGGCGGGAGGACAGGAAACTCGGTGAGCACAGTGGTTCTCCACTGGGGGGGATTTTGCACCCCATGAGACATTTGGGGACATCTGGAGACATTATTGATTGCTTTGATTCTGGGCGGACATGCTATTGGCATCTAGTGGGTAGAGAGACCAGGGATCTGCTCAACATCCTGAAATGCACAGGAGAGTCCTCCCCAGCAAGGAATTATCCATTCCAAAACGTCCATTGTATGTGGTTGAGAAAGCCTGGTGTTTCTTCCCCTGGCTGTCAGGAGTTTGGCTTTTCTTGTCTCATGAGAGATGAGACAAGAAAAGAGACGCCTGCCACCAACCACAGGGCCTAGCCCCAGAAGGGATCCTGGCCCTCACCTGACTCAGCAGTTTTCAAATTGGGTACTTAGAGGCTCCAGGCTCAAGGTTCTCAACAAGCGGTACTTTGGAGTGACCTGGGAAGCTTTACAAATTACCCATGCTTGGATCCCATCTTCAGAGATTCTGGAGTTAGTGGTCTCGTATGAGGCTTGGCTAATCTAACTTACAGCCAGGGTGGGAACCACTGGTTAGGGTGTACCCATAAAGGTCCTGGGATGGGGGAGAAATGCCTGCCTTTCAGGAGAGCCCTTCCATGTTGTTTTACATGTTTTAGTCCAAACCTGGCATTTCACACACACACACGACCCAGAGATCATACAGCAAGATTTTACAACTGACCCAAGATCATACAACAATTCATTCATCCACTCATTTGACAAGTATTTAGTGAGTGCCTACCACACGCCAGACAGCATCAGTGCCCAAGCTGGGGTGGGCAGCGGCTCCACCCAGCTGCCCAGGCAGCACGGCTCTCCTCTGGGTTGCACTGGCTGCCTTGCACTCTCTTATGCTGTACCTTTTTCCCCAGGTTCAACATATGGGACCTGTCCTTGTTTTCACACTCAGCATGCAGTGAATCGACCACTTCTGCCTATTTGTGAAGGACCTCTACTAGATCTGTCCCCTCCTCCCACCCTATGGCGCCCAGCCTGCTTTAGAACCATCTCACGTGAACTTGTCTCCCAGATATGCCATCTGACTTTGCCTGCTCCCCCCAAATTCATTGCACCCTCAGGGACCATACTGGTCTTAAAATTCCACATGCTCACAACCTCCTGTGGAGCATCAAATGATGGTTAAGAATTTGGGCTTTGGAGTGGAGCTTCAAATCCCGGCTCTGTCTCTTAGTGGATCTTGGGCAAGTTATTTAACTTCTTGATTCCTGTTTCTTCATATTTTAAATGCAGATTGTGTGTTTCAGTGATTCCATGTTTTCATTGATTCTTATTTTTCCTGTTTACATTTTAACATCTCCGAAGAGTCCATGTTAAATTGAAGACATGCCATGGCATACAACTGATGACATCTTAAATTCCTATGAAATGCAGCAGTACTCATCTTACAGGATTACTGTGAGGTCCAAATAAGTTCATATACAATAGTTGGGACTGCGCCCAACATGTAATGAGCCCTCATTAATCATTAGCCATTATAATCTCTTAGTTAAAATCTTCCCTAGCCCCGGCCAGGTAGCTTAGATGGTTGGAGTTTCATCCCATACACCAAAAGGTTGTGCGTTTGATTCCCAGTCAGGGCACATACGTGGGGTGCAGTTTTAGTCAGGGTGCATATTAGAGGCAACCAATTGAGGTTTCTCTCTCCCTCTAAAATCAATCAAAACATATCCTTAGGTGAGGATTCAAAAAGAAAAAAACTTCCCCAGTTCCTAGCTCTTTCTTACCTACAGAATATAGCTTTGGCCCTTGACCCTGACATTCAAGGCTCTCCATGAGCAAGCAGCTCCCCTGTCTTATTTGGTCCTCAGGGCAGACCTGTCCACACACAGATCAACCTGAAATCTTCACTGGACTGCCTCACGGGCACTTGGACTCCACGTGTCCAAACCCACCTTCCTTCCCGGCCCCACCACCCTCTTGTGATCTCTCCCAGGCTTGATGGCAGTGCCAGCATGTCATGCACATCCCCTTCCTTTCATGCCACTTGCTTCCTTCTCACCAGTAAGTGATCTGTCTTTGTAAGGTTTCTCAGAACCCCACCCCAACGTGTCCCCGGAGCCCCATTCTCTTAGCTCTGCCCACCCACAGCTGCTCTGAATCACTACTAGTCGGACACTGTTTTCTCACATCTCCTCGCCTTTGCCCAGGCTTGTTTCTGTGTGTGGGATGCCCTCCTCCTTTAACGCAGACACTACCTCTCCTGGGAAGCCTTTGCCGAACCCCTGAGACAGTAGTGTAGGTTGTCCCTGCTCTAGACATCTCTTGTGTGGCAGCAGTTGGATCAGGTTGTAGTGTTTCTTTCTCTTTTCTTTTTAACATTTAATTTTTAATTTTTAGAGAGACAGGAAGGGGGGGAGAAAGAAGGAGAGAAACATCCATGTGTGGTTGCCTCTTGCATATCCCTCACTGGAGAACCCATCCACAACCCAGGCATATGTCCTGACTGAGAATCAAACCAGTGACCCTTTGCTTCACAGGCCGGAGCTCAATCCACTGAGTTACACCAGCCAGGGCTCCTAGTGTTTCTTTACACATCTTCCCTCTACTCCATGCACTACCCTATAAAGCCACTACTTAAAGTTTTGTCTTTGTTTCCCCAGTGCCTGGCACATGGTAGATGTCAGGAGGCTTCCGGACAACTCCAGCCCCTCCTCTGAACCCTTGTGATGTATCCTCCCCATGGAAGCTTTTCCTGAGCACGTAGCACAGGAGGCTGGTAGATTAGGGTTTCTCTTCTGTGCACATAAGGCCAGCTCACCAGAGTGCAGCCTGCCAGGGCAGGGCTGGTTTTTCTGAGGCCCTCGCCAACAAGGGAGACTGCTGTAGGTATGGCATTTAAAAAATATATTTTATTTATTTATTTATTTCCAGAGAGAGGGGAAGGGAGGGAGAAAGAGAGGAGGAGAAACATCAATGTGTGGTTGCCTCGCATGCCACCGACTGGGGACCTGGCCCACAACCCAGGCATGTGCCCTGACTTGGACTCAAACCGGCAACCCTTTGTTTTGCAGGCCAGCACCCAATCCATTGAGCCACACCAGCCAGGGCAGTATAGCAGTTTTAAATAATTGCCCTCACATTCTCTGATGTGCCTCCTATCCAGAGGTAGGATGTATCCTTCCTTTGAATCTGGGGGTTTTGATGGGCTGACCAACTGAATGTGGCAAAGTGATGCTGGCTCAATTTCTGGTCTCAGGCCTTAAGAAACTGGTAACTTCCACCCTCTGCCTCTTGGGAAGCTCACTTGGGAACCCAGTGACCACGCTATGAGGATACCCAGTCTCCATGAAGAGTCCACATGAAAGAGCTCAGCCAAAATCCAGCACCTACTGCCAGACACAGTAGTAATAGTGCAGCCCCCAGCTGTTAAGTCACCCCAGACATAGTGGAGCAGAGATAAATCATTCCCATAGTGTCCTGCTGGAATTCCAGATGCTGAAAGCCCAGGAGCATAATGAAAATTTTTTTCCACCAGGTACAATATATAATACATTTCTTACACAACAGTAGATAACTGGAACAGTGGGGCATAAAAAGGAGCCTAGAACTCAGCACCAGGGGCCCTCGATATGTGGAGCCTCTCCATCGAGTGCTTGAGCATCCTAGTGATGTGGAGGCTGGCTTCCCCCAGAGTGAGTAATTCATGAGGGGAAGGCAAAAGCCACACTGTCTCTTATGACCTACTGCAGAAGGTACACACCATCCTTTTCATGATATCCCATCCAGTACGCAGATTAGCGCTACTCCTTGTGGGAAGGCCCTAACAGCTATGTCAATACCAGCAAGGGAGGTTCTCGACAGCCATTTTGGAGACTGGCTACCACACGTGTAGGCAACAGTTCATTCTCTAATAATCCCATAAGGTGAGACTTCAAATAGGCCTATCCTGAAAATGAGGAAACAGAGGCACAGAAACATGAAGTAACTTGCTCACATTCACGGGATGGTAAGTGGTAAAGCTAGGATTCAAACTCAGGCAGTCAGGCTCCTAAGCTACCATGCTCTAAATGCCCTCAGCACCACTGTAAGACTCGGGGAATATGGTAGTTTTAAGAGCGCTTCCTCTTGGGAAAGCAAACCAACAGATACATCCAAGGTGGTGGGCTGCCAACTCTGAAAACTAGCAAGACAAATGCAAATTGGAAAAGGATGAAACCTCAAGGTCCTGGGAGATGGAGATGAGATGATGGAACAGGAGGGTCTTACCACAAGGATCCGGGAAGAGCCAAACCATGTGGGGCCAGAGAGTACCAAATAGGGAGGGAAGCAGGGATGGGTGCACCAGGAAAATGCTTATGGATTAGATTTGGAAACTCATCCCTCATCCCCCTCACTCCCAGCAGAGAAACTCTTTTTTTTTTTTTTTAAGATTTTATCTATTTCTAGAAAGAGGGAAAAAGAGAGGGAGAGAAACATTGATGTGTGATAGACACGTGAATTGGTTGCCTCTGGAACACTCCCAACTAGGAATTGGTTGCCTCTTGCATGCTCCCAACTGGGAACCTGCCTCACAACCCAGGCATGTGCCCTGACTGGGAATCAAACCAGCGACCTTTCAGTTATCAGTCCGGCACTCTGCTTGCTGAGCCACACCAGCCAGTGCACTTTTTCTTTTTCAAAAAGATTTTATTTATTGCCCTGGCAGGGGTGGTATTTATCTATTTTTAGAGAGTAAGGCAGGCAGGGAGAAAGAGGGAGAGAAACGTCAATATGTGAGAGAAACATCAATGTACAAGATGTATTGATTGGTGGCCTCTGGCACACCGCCAACTGGAGCCCCAGCGCTCAAACCAGGCACGTGCTCTGACTGGGAATCAAGCTGGCAACCTTTTGGTTCACAGGCCAGCATTCAATCCACTGGGCCACGCCAGCTGGGGCCAAAGGAGCTCTTAATGTCAAAAATCTTTGCTTCACCCTACCCACAAGACTATCTCATCAATTTGTTCAACAAAGGTTACAGAGTACTTGTCATCTGAACCAGGCACTAGACTGGGCATGGGGGACACAGCAATACCCAGGCAAAATGAAGTTCTTTTACTTCCTGAACTTTGAGTCTAGCAGGGGAGACAAGTTACTGGAAAATTCTACCGGGGCAATGAGTGCAATGATGACAAAGCACAGGGACCTTAGAGTGCTGGGGAAGAGACCTGACCACTTAGGGACAGGTTTCTTTTGCTTAGCAAGGGTGGGAACACGCTTCCAAGCAGAGGGAACAGCTGCGCAAAGGGTCAGAAGAGAAATCCAGAAGCTAAGGTGCTTTCACCTGTAGACAGGTTGCCCTGGGTGAAGTAGAAGGGAGAGAGCCCAGAGAGCTCAGAGCTCAGAGTAGAAATGATGCTAAGGGGGCACTAATGTGGTTCCCGAAAGGAGGTTTCTACAGAGGGCTGGGTCCCACGCCGAGGCCAAACCCAAGGCAGGGGTGGGGGAGGCCGCTGAGGTGCCCTCTCTGCTCATCCTCCTGGATCTCTGCCCTGTGAGGAAAGACTTGGCCCCAGTGGTGTGAATGTGCTCATCCTTCTCGGATGCAGAGCCTACAGGGCAAGGCAGAGGCTGGGGAAAGGCAGGTGGAGGAGGTGGGGCCTGGTCTGGCCTCCAGGGTTAAGTGTTCATCTCAGCCTGAAGGAGGTGCTCCCTGAGGATGGTCAGGATGGTCAGGCTGTGCTCCCTGGGTATGGGCAAAGGTGGGGATGAGAGGAGTTTAAATCCAAAAGTAAGAAATGAATAGGCAGAAGAGAGGAGTAAACAGGCCTCTGATTACCACCTTTTTTTTTTTTTCAAGCCAAAGACAAAGGTGGGGCTGAGCCTCTGTCTACCTCTGACTTTCTGCTGGGATGGGAAGGACCAGGGCAAGGAGTCCAATTGACAGTGGCCCATCATCAGCCTCTTCTCTATCTCATAGCCAAGGCGTAGGCAGGGCCAGCCTCTCTCCCCTGAAACAACGGTAAGAGGCTGTTTCGAGCTTCCTGCTCCTTCTTCTCTCACCTTTCCCCAGTCTCTTTCTACAGCAGGCTGGTTCTGTCACTTCCTGTTTGAAATCCTTCAGTGGTTCCCAGAGCCATTGGGTAAGGCCCAGGCTCCTGACCATGTTCTGCAAGGCCCTGAAGAATGAATCCCACCAGGGCAGTATGCTTGTTCACCCGAGTCCCCAGAACCTGACACAGTGAAAGCTTGCTGGAAGAAGGGTGAACTGATGCCTGGTCTGGCTACCACCAGCCTTTCTGGATGCATCTGCCCATACGCTCCACACTCCCCATGTGCTCTACACTCATGTGTTCATTCAGCTCCCAGGGGACACTTGACATTCAGAGGAAAATTGGCTTTCACATGCTCTTCCCTGAATAAGCTTATGGAGCCATTGCGTTTCCCACCAAGAAATTGTATAACACCAGGATGAATTTCAAAAATGCGTGGAGTAAAACTGATGAACAAAATGGAAACAAAAACATGGACACATGGACAGACTGACAATTGTCGGGGGGGGTGCAGGGAAGGGGGACTGGATGAAAGAAGGTGAAGGGATCGGCCACAGAACATGTGTGTGTGACCCATGGACACAGCAGTGTGGTGATCGCCAGAGGGAAGGGGGAGCAGAGACTGGGTGGAGGTGGGCAAAGGGGGGGAAACGGAAACATCTGTAATAGTGTCAACAACGAAAATAAAGTTTAAAAAAGGATTAAAAATGTGTTGAATGAAAGAAGCTAAATGCAAATAATAAACACTAACTCCACTGATAAGGTCAAGGGCAGAAAAAAGTGATCTATGGGTTTCAGAAGTCAGGATAGTAGTTGCCTCTAGAGAATGGGATTGACTGCAAATGGGCACAAGGTAACTTTCTGGGTCTTTATCTGCATTTGCAAATGTGTACATTTCTTGAAATGCTTTAATCTATACAGTTAACTCTGTATGTGTTACTAAATGGAAATTATACCTCAATAAAGTACTGTGATCAGAGAAAGCAATGTTCATGTGGCTATAACAATGGGGGTGGGGAACACCCCACAGTGTGTGGGTTAAACAGCACATCTGACATAGCCAAAGAGAACTGGTGAACAAGAAGATAGAGGTGAAGAGTTACCTGGATTGCATCATGGAGACAAAAAGAATGGAAACATGGAAGAGAGGTTACAAGACACGGGGGACAGAATGAAAAAGTCTAGCAGACTTATACTCAGAGTCCCCAAAGGAAAGAACACAAAAAATGGAGAAAAGAATAGTTGAAGAGATACTCATTGAGAATCTTCCAAAACTGACAAAAGATGCAAATTCATAGATATAGGAAACACAGCATTCCGAGAGGAATAAGTAGAAAAGAATCCATACCTAGATACTCTGTACTAGAACTACAAAAACACTAATATCATTCTAAAAGCAGGGAGAAAAGAGATAAGCTACAAAGGAATAACAGTTACATGAAGCAGACTTTTTCAAAATATTCATTGCACCTATTATACGCCTACATTGTGCCAGGTACCTAGAACACAAGATGAACAAGACAGGCTCAGCTCCGACCCTGTGGAGCCCACAGCATAAAGGGGATGACTGATATGGAGGGAGCAATTACGGTGTGATGAGCTGGTCTAGTTGGAGGGAAGAGAATTGGCAAGAAGACAATACAGGTAGAACTGTGAACTGTTAAGATTTTTCCCATCAATGCTGGAAGATCCCGGGTGTAGCAAGATGGGGTGGGGCTTTTCCTTCCAAGGGACTCAGGACAATGCTGCTATGCTCACAAATCCTGCCTTAGGACAGGAGACAGAAAAGATATTCTAAGACTGGTGGCTTCCTGAGAACCCCTGAAGGGAAGAAAGAGAGCAAGTTCCTTTTCAGAGCCTTCATCAAGGTCCTGGACTTGTGTACCGGCAGCCACAGGCCAAGTAGCAGTGCACAGAGCCCTGGGGTCAGCAGAGGTGACATGGGGTGAGGGAGGTTAAACCAGAATGAGGCCAGGAAGTGCCAGTGCTGGGGAGGGGTGCCCTGATGCATGGAATACTGCTTTTCACTTAAAAAAAAAATCCTCACCTGTGGGTATACTTATTGATTTAGAGAGAGAGGAAGTGGGGGAGAGAGAGTAACGTCCATGTGAAAAGGAAACCTTGATCGGTACACACCCCAACTGGGGCTTGAATCCCCAACCCAGGTATGTGCCCTGACTAGGATTGAACCCGCAACCTTTTTTGGTATAGGGAACGATGCTCCAAGGAACTGAGTCACCTGGCCAGAGCTGGAGTCCTGCCTTTGATCACAGGACTAGGCACCAAGCTGGGATGGGGCTGAGGAGCCCCTGAGAAGCTCTGCCTCCACCCCAATACACACACAGACAAGACCTCCCATGGGTTTCACTCTGGGGAGCTCCCCCAGAGGTCCTTGAACTTCAGAGCTGGGAAAAGGAAAATGGCTTGAATCTTGGACTCTGTCTAGCAGGGGGTGGGTGACTTTCTGTACCACCATCAGCACTTCTCTGTCCTGGCTTCGTTTCAAAACATCCTGTGCTGGGAAGCTCTATTGGCCAGGGACTAAGGCCTGTTCAGCCTTATCTTTCTAGTGTCCTGGCAGGATGGCTCTATCAGATGCTTATTCATTTAAGGGGGGAGGGGCTCTGGTGAGAGGGTTTGGCGAGATGGGGTGTGGAGGACAGGACAGAGGAGAAATTCTGGAGAGCGGTGAAAAGTCCTTTGGAGAAGGCCGGAAAGAGGGGGAGAAAGTGGAGAGAGTGAGAAGGAAGGCAAGCAAAGGACAGAAGGGAGGTTGCTCAGCGTCTGACCTAGCAGAAGGAGTGGCCGACAACCGCCCTTGCAACCCTCACCATTGCTCACTGGGGAACTGGGGGCGCAGCGCCCGCCAACTCGGGCCAGCCGCCAGGTCCCGCCCTTCGCGCGCCTCAGGCCCCGCCCTTCTCGGGATTTAGTCCTGGCAGCTCAGGAGGCCCGGTAGCCGCCGCTTCCGCCTTTGCCAGGTGAGGGTCCGGGGAAGCTGGAGCGCCGGGGCTGGGGCTGGCGCAGGTGGCGGAGAAGCCATCGCTTGGGGTGCTTCCGCGGGTGCTGAGCCTGTCTGCCCCATCCTCCCTTCTTCTGCCCTCCCCTCCTCGGTCCTTTCCTTCTGCGATAGCTTTTCGTCCAGTCCCCCTTCTCCTGCTTTCCTCTCCCCACTTTGCAAGCAGTCCGACAGCCCAGGGTCCTGGGCTATCTCCTCCCCCGCCCCTGCCCGTGCCCAGTTCCAAGCCCACCTCCGTGTTTCCAAATGGGCCCCAGCTTGTGGTCCCCCTCCTTCTCCCGGCTTAACTAAGCGTGTGGGGGGTGGGGTGGGGGTAGAATCTAGGTGCGTGTACGGAAGAGTTTGTGCAGGCTGCGCAAGCAGCCGCCACCCAGAGCGCCTAGAGCCTTATTTCATAAAGGCTGGTGGAGTTGCCTTGAAGCTAAGTTAGACTGAGTGACTCAGGTGTGCAGGCGGGGCTCCCTACCTGAACTTGAGGTGACCGTGACCAGTACGTGAACTTAAAACCACAAATGCCTGGTTTGATTTCAAATGTTGCTGCCTCCTCCTGTGTAGAAGAGTCAGTGACCTGACTGTCTCCGCCGAGGCGGAAGTGTGCCTGCAGAACTCAGGTGTACGTGCATGCCATTCCTCAGTGTCCCCTGTGCTATGTGTGTTTCTGTGGACCTTGGAGTCTCAGACCCATGGGGCAATGTATTTACAGGGCCCTGCCTCAAGTACAGTTATGTAAGAGGGTATGAGGGTAAGCCTGGTGTTTTATGGTAGCACACTTGGCCATCTCAGAAGTGAGAAGACACATCTGGGTGTCTCAGGCACATTTTTGCAGCATATCTGTACATGTCAGTATATGTGTGTGTGCAGCAGTGCATCTAGGTGTGGGAGGCAGTGTGCCTTTGTATGTGTGTGCACACATGATGTGTGTATCTGTATGTCTGAGGTATGGTGAGTTAGCACATCTGGGCATCTCTGGTATATATGTGGTAGGTCAAAATGCCCCACCTGTACCTGAGGTATCTCAGGTGTGTGCAAGTGTGTGCAGTGGGGTATCTCAGGTCTGAAAGGGCAGTGTCTCTGGGTGTCCTAAGCGTACAGGGGCATTGTGCCATAATATCTCAAGAGTGAGCAGGGGCCCTGGCTGGTGTGGATCAGTGGATTGAGCCCCCGTCTGCCAACCAAGGGGTCGCCTGTGTGATTCCCAGTCAGGGCACATGCCTGGGTTTTGGGCCAAGTCTCCAGTGGGGGGTGCATGAGAGGCAACCACATAGTAATGTTTCTCTCCCTTGCTTTCTCCCTCCCTCCCCTCTCTCTAAAAATAAATAAATAAAATCTTTTAAAAAAAGTGAGCAGGGCTACACACCTGAAATCTATGGTGCTAAAATCTCAGGTGTGAAAGGTCAGGTTTCCCGGTGGTGAAGGGGGTAGAGGACCTCGGGCTTGGGTATGGGGAGCATTCCTCCGGAAGTTTGTATGTGCGAATGGCAGGGTACGCAGCTCTCTCTGATGTGTCTGTCCTTCTACCTGAGTGTTTCTGATGGTTAAGGGGGCAGCTGGGGACCACATCTCTGGTATCTGAGTGTCTCAGGTGCCTATCCTGGGCTGTGTGTCTGGAGGAGAGTAAACCACTATCCTGAGAAGCCGGAGTTCTTTCTCCAGACATGCTCCCGGAGACAGGTTCCCTGTGGCTGCTGAGGCTACTCCAGGACATCCAGCTGGCTCAGTTCTACCCATCCATACTTGAGGAGCTGAATGTTACTCAGCCAGAGCACTTCGACTTTGTGAGACCTGAGGACCTGGACGGCATTGGCATGGGCAGGCCTGGTGAGGGACTCCTGTCCCAAGGCCCTAGTCTCCCCTCCTCCAACCTGTCAGTTGCTACATGCCTCCCCCACTCCCCCTTCCACGCACCAGCCCTCTTCTTGCCTTTAAATCCCTTGCATCGTGTCCACCCCTCCCCTCATACTACTCCAGCCCTCTAATTGTGGCCTCCCTCAGCCCAGCGCAGACTGGCTGAAGCTGTGAAGAGGTACCATTCCAGGAACAAGGTGTGTGTTTGGGGGGTGGGGGGATGAGAGGTTTAAAGGGCCAATTTAGGCTGGGGAATGGGCTGGGCTGAGTGGCAGGGGTATGCAGGGTTCCACACACTTGACTTCTCACTGCTCTTTCATATCCCTGGGGGGTTCGCTTCTGAGCAGAAGGAGACCACCCCACCCTCAGACAGCTCTCCATTCCTCCCTGAGCCAGAGCGGGGACTAAAGTGTCTGATCCCAGAAGGTGCTGTGAGCAGGGGGGAGCTGCTGGGCTCCGGCTGCTTTGGCGTGGTGCACCGGGGGCTGTGGACACTGCCTAGCGGTCAGAGTGTGAGTACTCAGGGAGCCTATTTCATTCTGGGTACCTGGGCCAGCTGGGAGCTCTGCTCTGGCCCTGGGATAGCTGTTCCCTAGGGTGCCTGATGGTGCCTCCCCTACCCCCAGGTCCCAGTGGCTATCAAGTCCCTCAGGGTGACTCCCAAAGGCCCGGTGGGCACAGAGCTGAGGGACTTCCTTCGAGAGGTGTCTGTCATGATGAACTTGGAGCACCCACACTTGCTGCATCTGCATGGGCTCGTACTGGGCCAGCCTCTGCAAATGGTGAGCAGGCCTGACCCAGGCTCCCGGGACAGCCTCGGGGCTGAAGTGAGACAGGAGAATGGCCTTCCAGAGGCCCATGGAGCCCAACCATCGCTCACCGGGCGCTGTGCTCCTGCAGGTGATGGAGCTGGCACCGCTGGGCTCCCTGCACGCACGCTTGACTGCGCCCGCCCCTTCAACCCCGCTGCCGGTAGTCCTGCTATGTCTCTTCCTGCGGCAGTTGGCGGGGGCCATGGCGTACCTGGGGGCCCGGGGACTGGTGCACCGGGACCTCGCTACGCGCAACTTGCTGCTGGCTTCTCCGAGCACAATCAAGGTGGCCGACTTCGGGCTGGTGCGGCAGCTGGGCGGTGCTCCGGGCCGTTACGTTATGGCCGGGCCCCGCCCCATCCCCTATGCCTGGTGAGGTTTGAGTCCGGCGGTAGGTCTCGGAAGCTGGTCGGGAGGATGAGGCTCTGGAGTGCAGTAGCTAGCCGAAGAGAAGTGTGGAGGGAACTGGTCCTTTGAGGGAGACTGGGCACAAAGGAGTCCGTGGGTCTGGAGGGGCTTGTAAAGGAGGACATCTGAGGACCAGTCCCTGCTGAATGGGAGCAAAGGGCCCGTGTTCAATGACAGGTGGGACCTTGGAGGGGCACAGATCCAGCCCCCTTCAGCTCCACTTCCACAGGTGTGCTCCAGAGAGCCTTCGCCAGGGGACCTTCTCTTCTGCCTCTGACGTGTGGATGTTTGGGGTGACGCTGTGGGAGATGTTCTCTGGGGGCAAGGAGCCCTGGGCCTGGGTCCCGCCATACCTCATCCTGCAGCGGCTGGAGAAGGACCAAGCCCGGCTGCCTAGGCCTCCTTTCTGCTCCAAGGCCCTCTACACCCTGGCCTTGCACTGCTGGGCCCTCCACCCTGCTGATCGGCCTAGCTTCTCCTGCCTAGAGGGGCTGATCCAAGAGGTGGGAACACTTGCCTCCCCAGATACACTCAGTCTCTCTTCCCCCCATCTTCTCTCCCAGGGTTCCATGCACAAGACCAACAATACTGACTCCTGGGTTTGAGTCTAGGACAGAACAAATTCAGTCCCTACCTGCAGGACGCTAATAGCCCTGGGGAGCAGTTTGGGGCTACACAGATGTAGGCTGAAGGGCTGCTGAAGGAAGCTGGGCCAGAGAAGGAGGAGTACAGAGCAGAAAGCAGTAGAGTAGTTTGCAGTGGGCATTTGACAGGCAGAGGAATGTTTCAGCACAGGAGGGGTAAGTACAGGTAACGAAGGCAGTGGAGATACTCAGGAGCTGCCCCATGGAGGTATTTGCAAGGCATGATAAATAACTGAAATTAACATATAGAGCACTTGATCTGTGTAAGATACTTACTGTACTCAATGTCTTACATGTACGCTTATGCGTGTTCACTCATTTGATCCTGGCAACAACCCAACAAGGTCATTGTTATCTTGACTTTACAGATGGTACAGTTGAGGCACTGGCAGTTTAGGTGACTTGCCTAAGAGGAATAGCTGGGATGTGAACCAGTCTATCTGACTTCAGAGCTATTCCTTAAAGCACTGTACTCTGCTGTTTTTGTTTTTTGAAACTTTTTAAAAATCATTTTTTATTTTTCAATACAATTGACCAATATTATATTGGTTTCAGGTGTACACCCCAGTGATTAGATATTATATAACTTACTAAGTGATCATCCCAATAAATCTCATACCCATCTGACTCGGGGGTGTCCAACCTTGTGGCGTCCCTGGGCCACACTGGAAGACTTGTCTCGGGCCACACATTAAATTCACAAACACTAACAAAAACTGATGAGCAAAAAACAGGTTTTAAGTAAATTTACGATTTTGTGTTGGGATGCACTCATAGCCATCCTGGGCTGCATGTGGTCCATAGGCCACGGGTTGGACACCCCTGCTAGTTGTTGGAATATTATTGACTATATTCCCTATGTGGTACTTTATACCACCATGATCCTTCTGTTACTACCGATTTGTACTTCTTTTTAAAAAAGCTTTTATTTTTTTTTTTTATAAACAAGAACTCTTTTTTTAAAAAAATTTTATGGGGGGGGGGGAGGTTGGGGGGCTTTTAAATTTTTATTACTTATTTTTAGAGAGATGGGAAAGGAGGGCGAAACACCAATGTGTGGTTGCCTCTCACTTGACCCCCACTGGGGACCTGGCCCACAACCCAGGCATGTGCCCTGACTAAGGATTGAACTGGTGACCCTTTGATTCACAGGCCAGCACCCAGTCCACTAGGCCTCACTAGCTAGGACCCAATTTGTACTTCCTAATCCCTTCACCTTTTTCCCCCAACCCCACTATCTGGCAGCCTTCAAAATGTTCTCTGCATATTAGTCTGTTTCTGTTCTGCTTATTTATTGTGTTTTTTAGATTCAAATGTTGATAGATATATATTTATTGCCATTTTATTGTTATTTAAATTAAAAAAAACTATTTTATTAACTTATTTTTAGAGAGAGGGTAAGGGAGAGAGAAAGAGAGGGAGAGAAACATAATGTGTGGTTGCCTTTCACACACCCCCTACTTGGGAACCTGGCCTGCAACCCAGGCATGTGCCTTCAGTGGGAATTGAACTGGCAACCATTTGGTTTGTAGTCCATTTGTAGCACTGGCTCAGTCCACTGAGCTAAACCAGCCAGGGTTATTGTTCTTATTTTAAAAATCCTATTCTCCTTCTTCAAGAAGACCCTTTATATTTCATGTAATACTGGTTTGGTAGTGATGAACTCCTTTAGCTTTTTTTTTTTGTTTGTGAAGCTCTTTATATGTATTTCCATTCTAAATGATAGCTTTGCTGGGTACAGTAATCTTGGTTGTAGGTCCTTGCTTTTCATCACTTTGAGTATTTCTTGCCAGTCCTTTCCAGCCTGCAAAGTTTCTGTTGATAAATCAGCTGACAGTCTTTGTAGCTAACTGCTTTTCTCTTGCTACTTTTAAGATTCTCTCTTCATCTTTAACCTTCTGCTTTTTAATTATTTATTTATGTATCTATTTATTTTAGAGATAGGAAAAAGGAGGGAGGGAGAAGGGAAGAGAAACATCAATCAGTTGCCTCTCATACATACCCAGATCAGGGAATAAACCTGCAACCTAGGCATGTGCCCTGGGTGGGAATCAAACCAGTGACCTTTCACTTTGCAGGATGATGCCAACCAACTGAGCCCCACTGGTCAGGGCTCTCATTTTAATTATGATGTGTCTTGCTATGGGCCTCTTTGGGTTCATCTTGTTTAGGATTCTGTATGCTTCCTGGACTTGTATGTCTATTTCCTTCACGAGGTTAGGGACATTTTTCCTCATTATTTTTTAAAATAGGTTTTCAATTTCTTGCTCTCTCTCTTCTCCTTCTGGCACCCCCATGATGTGAATGTAGGTTTGCTTGAAGTTGTCCCAGAGGCTCTTCACACTATTCTTATCCTCACTTTCTTTGATTCTTTTTCTTTCTTTCTTTCTTTCTTTCTTTCTTTCTTTCTTTCTTTCTCCCCTCCCCTCCCTTCCTTCCTTCCTTCTTTCTTTCTTTCCTTTCTTTCTTTCCTTTTTCTTTCTATTTGACACAGCTCAGGAGCACCATCAGGGGTACTGCTGGCTGCTTGTCATTTATTTCCCACTTCATGGAAAGCACACAGTTATGCCGCGTCAGGAAGGCTCATGTGTGGCTTAGGTAGTAAAGAGCAGGGTTATCTTGACTTCTTTTTTGCTCTTAGGCTGTTCCGATATAAAAGTACCCAGCTGCTTCTGCTTTCTACAGCCTGCCTAGGCTATGGGTGGGGCGAGAAGAAGGTAGGGGACAGAGAAGGAGGGGTATTGAAAGGGGCTCTGAGGAGCCTGGTGCCTCTGAAAGTCTGGTGGCTGGTGGTGGCCACTCAGGTGGAGGCCCAGGGTTGACTTTGCCAAGCTGACTGCCAGATGGCTTCCCAAGCCAGGTCCCGGGTGATCATGCTGCTGGAGCCCTAGGGAGACTTTGAGTGCTTTGGGGAAACACTGGCCACAAGCAGAAAAGTGGACTTCCCCCCAAAAGAAACTCACTGACCAGTGACCTAGGTCAGCCTTGGGGAGCCTGGGTGGTAGGGGATGTCTTCCCCAGGATACTTGGCACTTCCGCAGGAGCTGTTACTAAAAGTGAGCACAGGTGGCACAAGTAGTACTTGTTGGTAGCCATGATCAAGGCACTGGAGGTGATGGCTGCTATACTCTTGCTTGTTGACTGGTGGAAACCTTGTGGGCTACTCCTGGTGGGCCTTAGTGTGCAATCATGGGTAGCAGGAATAGGACCTGTGCTAGGCCACAGAGCCCATTTGCAAAGGAGAGCATGGGAGGCTGATCCATGACCAAGATGTGTGGGGCTCTTTCTACTGTTCTGATTAGGTCTTTTTTGCTTCCTTATATTCCAAGTCACTATTTTGATCCTCAGCTTCATCTACTCTACCTTTGACTCCCTGTAAGTTTTTCTTCATTTCAGTTACTGTATCCTGCATTTTTGACTAGTTCTTTTTTATAGTTTCCATGCCCTTTTTTATGCCGTTGAAGTACTCTCTAAGTTCATTGAGCATCCTTCACCCAAGCTAAGGCACTCCAGGTTTGCCCATTGCCCACCCCTTCCTGTGTGTGCTGTAGTTGAGGTTTGATTGCTGATGAAAGAACTTACCCCGGGTCGATCAACTGCAAGGATTGGCTGTGACCACTGTGGAGGATCAGCTATGCAGGGGTCCACCCCACAGATCAGGACTTATGTCAGCGGGGCTCTGGTGCCCCCTGAGTCTGCCCTTCGTGTGTCACTTGTGGAGGTGGTTGGGTGGTGCCTTAAAATGGTCTGAGCTGTAAACCAGGTGTGCTGGCTCTGGGGCCTCCCAGGAGGTGCAGGCCAAAGTCAGCCACTGCTTGTGTTCTGCCCGCGGCCACATGGCATGAGCTACAAAGTGATCTGTAGATAGCTGCTACTTGTGCTGGGTTTGGAGATGTCCAGGAGAGGCCATGCTGCAAATCGAGGCCAACTGCCACCTGTGCTGGGCCTGGGGCCACTTAATGAGAGGTAGGGTGCACACCAAGGTGAGATGTTGCTTGTTTGAGAGATTTTAGGAAAGTCTGAAGCATGAGCTGAGACAGGCCTTTCGTATGGATAAGCCACTGGAAACAACTTGAGTGGGACCAAAAGATGATGAGGTGTGATCTCAGGAAATCAGGGTGGGGCGAACAGTGGTAGCCAGGTTGATGGAGACTCATATGTAGTGACCTCCTGCTAGGTCTATGGGAGAAGGGCTCAGAAAAGGAACAATGGCCTCTTCTAGTGTTCTATCTGGGAGAAAGCTGCCCCTCTAGCTCTTGTGCTGATGTCAGACACTTCATTCCTTCCCTGTATGTCCCTGGTGTTTTTCAAGCTGCTATTCCAGTGTTGGAACTAAAAATGAATGAATCCAAGTCTGTGCATGGGCCCTTTAAGAGGAACTGCCTTGAATGCCAGAGGTCCTCCATCTCACCGACCCATAATCCCTGCTGGTTTTCAGAGCCAGAAGGTATGGGGACTTCTCTTTCTGGCACTAGAACCTTGAGGTGGGAAGCCTGGTGTGGAGCTGGGACCACTTGTTCCATGAGGGAGTGGAGCTCCACTTAACCTCCAGCCAAGATATCCCCCCAATTTTTATTTGCCTTAAGTGGGCATGGGACCAGCCCATTCCACTTCTTTGCCCCTCCTACCAGTATCAATGTGGCTTCTTCCTTATATCCTTAGTTGTAGGACTTGCACTCAGCTAGATTTCAGGTGGTACTAATGATGGTCACTCTGTAGTTTAGTTGCATTTTTGATGTGGCTGTGGGAGGATGCAGGTACTGTGTTTACCTATGCTGCCACCTTGACTGGAAGCCTATACTCTACTGTTGAAGGAGTTTAGTCTTTACTGAGGGCACTCAGGAACCATGGAAGAGTTTTGAGCAGGGAAGTAACAAGGCAACTTTACATACTGTATCACTCTGGCTTGGTGCAGGAATGGACTAAAGGGGAGACACTGAAGATGGAAAGACCAGGTAGGAGACAATGGCTGTGAAGTAAAAGTGATATGAAAAGGTCTGGATGAGGATCAAGACAGTAGAGCTGGAGAGAAATGGAACGTTTCCAGAAGTGCTTGGGAGGTGGATGTGATGGGCCTGGGTACAGCATAAAAGCAGTACATAGGATAATGTTCCACTTGATCTCCCTAGGAAGAAACAGACCCCCCACCCTTTTGTTGCTCTCTGACCCCTAGACTGTGTTCAGCTTGGCATGGAATCCAGGTCTGCCCCCTAACTGGACTACAACTGGGGGACAGGGATAATGTCATCCTGGGCCCAGGACAGAAGACATACCTGGTATGGGTTTGATTGGTGGGTGCATAAAGAGGAGTCTCCTTTCTCACCTCCTCCATGATACCCTCCTGACTCGGGCCAGGAGTGCAGCCACCCTTTCCTCCTGTCTCTACAGGCCTGGCCCCCTGAAGGGCATTGCGTGAGGAACGTCACAGAGCCACATGCTCTGAGGATGGAGCCTGGCGATCCCATCACTGTCATCGAGGGCAGGTGAGGGCCTCATGTTCCTTATGAATCCTCCCAACCTGCCTGACTCTGTTTCCTTTCTGCTTCTCCCCAGCTCCCTCAACTCTGATCCTCTGCTTCATCCCCTTCTCTCCCCATTGGGCCCTGAGAACTCTACCAGGCCTGGTGTCTGGGCTGGAGCCACCATGGGCCCATAGAGCCCTATTGTGTTAGGAACAAAAAGGCGTTCCTTCTTCCGGGCAGATGCAGCTCCATGGCACACAGCTTGTGAGCTGAATGCGGGCAGGAGCCTGGCCTCCACTCCCCCCTTGCTCTCATCCCCATCACCAGTGCCTCTTCCCTAGCCCCAGCTCCACAACCTGGAAAGGCCAGAACGGTCGCACATTGAAAGTGGGCAGCTTCCCAGCCTCAGCAGTGACACTGGAAGACTTGAGGGGCTCCCCAGCCACCTGTCCGGTCCATAGAGGATCCTCTGCCTGGAGAGAGCAAGGCCGAGGAAGCACAGATGGGTGAGGACCTGAAAGAGTGGAGGACAGAGCTGGGCTGGGGGAACTAACCAAGTTCAGCAACTGCTCTGGAGGGGAAGCTTGGGGTGGGTCTAGGATTTGGATCCCAAATCTAGGAGGCTGGATTTGCCTTCCAGGTGGAGCTTCCACACTGGGTCTCAGTCAGCCAGGGAGCCCCAGGGATTCTTTGGGAAGGGACATTGATACGTGTGGGGGATCTGGGGTGGACAATGAACTGGATCACTCTCCAAAAGGGTCAGACCAAAGGCAAAGCTTCGGGAGCTACCTCCAGCAAAGGGTCAGAGAAGGAACACGCCCCTGCAGAGGATAAAAGGTGACTGATGGGAGGCAGGGCCCCAGGTTCTCTGAGATCAAGAGCAACCCTCCAGTTCTGCACCCTGCTCTGAATCCATGCCTCTACATCTATGATTTCCCCATGTGACTTCCTCCCCCCACTCATTCTACCTGTTGACATCCATCCCAGCTGTACTTAAAGATCTGCCTTCTCCACTGAACAGCATTTTCCCATGCACTCGGTTCTTTGGGTCCTCAAGCCTAGGCCTGGGTGTCTGTTCTGCACACCTGTCTTATTGTCCCACCTAACACAAGGACCACCTGAGGATAGCACACACGGAAAATGGGAAGAAGACAGGACCCAGCATCTGGGCTTCCTCTCAAGTTGCTGTTTTGTGTTTGTTTTTTCCCCCCCTGAACTGTGCAGGCATTTCCAAGAGTCTGGAATCTGTTCTTTCCCTGGGCCCCTGCCCCACAGGGGGTGGTTCGAGCCCCCCTGAACGTCGACGTGCCAGAGATGTACCCCAGGGACCCCCAGGCCTGCCACCCTGCCCTCCCTTTGTCTCCAGCTCTTTTCAGCTCAGCCAGCCCCCCAGGGAGCGGCCTTCTTGGCCCAAAAGAGAAGCCCCGCACAATCACCCCTTGGAAGCACCCAGAGGCAGCAAAGCCGCTGTTCCCGATCCCAAGTTGCAGAAGAAGGTTATGGAGGTGAGGTCTCCCTGAGTGGCCTGATGTCCATAAGGGGTCACAAGCTTGGATAGGAGCCTAAGTGAGGCTTTGTCCCCTGCAGGTGGAGCTGAGTGTACATGGAGTCACCCACCAGGAGTGCCAAGTGGCACTGAGAGCCACTGGGGGAGATGTAGTTTCTGCCATCCAGAACCTTAAGGTAAAGCCAGACCCTCCTCTTGGGTTCCCACCTCTCCTGTCCCTGTTCTCTGGCAAGTCAGCTGCCCTCCCTCCCATTTCCACAGGTAGACCAGCTCTTCCACCTGAGTAGCCGGTCCAGAGCCGACTGCCGGCGCATCCTGGAACACTACCAATGGGACCTCTCGGCGGCCAGTCGCTATGTCCTGGCCCGGCCCTGAGCTCCGCTCCCTTAGACCTGGACACCAGCATGCACGAAGGGCCTGACTGTGTGGGACCAAGCAGAACCGGAACAATGTCCTGAAAGGGCATAATTTCCTGCCTGGAGAGAGCCGGCTATGCATAGGTGTAGGAGGAGGCCAGGGTCAGGCCCTGATGAGTGTTTCCTCCTACCCTTGGCCTCTGAAGGCTCAAGCTCCCCTGGCTGCGTCATAGAAGGATCTGGTTTACCTGCCCACCACATTTCCAACCAAGAGGAGGACTTGGAGGAACAGAGCTGCTACACACCGTACCCATAGGAAGCTTCTGCTTGCTACAGAGAATGACCAAGTGGCCATACAGAACCAGGGAAACAGCTATCGTGAACTACCAGCCACCACAGTGGGCCACCTTGGAGGATGGAAGCAGCCATGGACTTGGGGCACACGGCCCAAACTGCCTTGGCTTGGGCCGGGGACATCATGGGTGATGAAAGTTGCTCCTTTGGACTCACGGACACTTGATCCTGGCAGCTCGGGTCACAAGACAGGCAGCCCCCACCCCACCCAGCTGCCACATGTCCCTTTGTTTCCCACGCCAACTCTTTTTCTACCCTCTCCCATTACATATATCTTCCAGTATCCAAAAAGTTACAAAGTTTATATGAATATAACATACAAAGATGCAGCCTCCTTTGTAAGAACATGGAAGGAGGGGTGGTTAAGTAAGGCAGAGGAAGCTGCAGCAAGCACCAGCTATGAGAATGGCCCACGGGGAAGAGGAGGTCCGCGCCGAGGCCTAGGCCCTAGAGCTGTAGCTGGGGATGTGGGGACCCCCTCTGAGTGCCACGGTCTGAGGCTGAACTAAGTGGTCAAGCTGACACAGCGAAGGGTGGCCATATCAGCCGTCTTTGGTGCTGCTTACCCTCTCCACCCCAGCTTCCTTTGTGAAACCCCAGAGCCTTGGATTCCAAAAACCAGAGCAGAGGCCCCAGAAGTCGGTAGGAGGAAGTGAATAGGGAAAGTCTGAAAGCCAATATGCCGATATGCCTTGTGCTGAGGGATTGCCAGAGACAGTGGTGAGAGGTAGCAGGGGAAGGGCTCTCATACATACCCTTCTGTGGGGGCCACAGGTGAAGGAGGCCAGGGGAAGAGGGTAGGAGTGGGGCACCATGGCCCCCAGCCTCTTAGGCATCCCTGTTTGTCCCCTGTAGTGTACATGGAGGAAAGGGGCTGCCTCTGAGGAGGGGCCAGGCCAGGCCAGGCCAGGTGACCATCTCGGATTCTGGTTGCGGTGATAGTCTCCTCACCCTGAGGTGATGTCTAACTGGTGATGGCAGAGGGCCCAGTGCCTCCTCGCTTCTCGAAGAACATGTAGTCCTGAGGGGAGGGTACCATCAACAGGAGATGAGGCTGGGCCACCCCGGCTCAGCTACAACAACCCAAGTCTGGAGCTACAACCCCCGATAAAGTCTGTCCCTAAGCCTCTCCTAGTAGGAGACCAGGAAGTGCAGAAAGCCCTCAGTGGGAGCAAAGGAGGAACAGCCGACTCACAATGAGGAATGTGGCTCCCAGCAGCACAGCCTTCACTTTCACATCCAGATCCAGCGGGAACTGCAAGCCAAAGTCATCTGCATCCGTGAGGGCTTCTTGGAGCAGTCCCCCCCACTGCTTGCTGATGCGGCCCACACTGCGGGACTCATCCAGGGTCTTCACCTGTCAGGAAGGGGAGAGGGGAGAAGACAAGACCCAGTTGGAGTAGATGCAACGGCTCTCTCCTCTCTCCAGTCTCACTCCCACTGTCACCCTGTATGAACTGTGCTGGCTCTACACTCAGTGAATCCTCCCAACAGCCTTGGATTTCCATGGGACTTCTGGAGAAACTGAGTCACCTTTGGGCACTGTGAGCAAAAATGAGGATTCAGACGTAGGTCTGTTCCTCTTGAAGGGCCAACATTATCTGCTTTATCTCCTTAGTGTGTGGCTGGTTGCTAGGTTCGTTTTCACTGCCAACAACCCTGCTACCTGCATTTGGTACAGTTTGCGCCCTGCACAAAGTAGCTTGGCCAAGAGGGCAAGGGAGGCTGCTAAAACCCTGGCTGTACCCTATCAGCCAACCAGGCTCCTAAAAGGCTATGTCTGCCCAAAGGGGTGCCTTTCCTCTTCAGAGGAGGGAGAGCTCTGTGCAGCACTCACGCAGGCCTCCACTATAGGGGATCCAAGCCCACCTTTTGACTTTTTGTGGGCGAGAAGGCAGCAGTAAGCAGCCTCCAATAGTTCATGTTTCTCTCTCTTTCTTCCTCTCTCTCTAAAATCAATAAACATATCCTTGGGTGAGGGTAAAAAAACAATTGAGCTTTGACCGGTGTGGCTCAGCTGGTTGGGTGATGTCTTGCAAAGCAAAAGATCACCAGTTCAGTTCTTGGTCTCAGTGCATACTGGGTTGTGGGTTCTGTCACGGGTAGGGACGTGTGCAAGGGTCTTTCCACTGAACTCTCTGGGCCTACCAGCAATAGGCCCTGCTGACGTAGGTGGTAATTCACAGTGACTCCCTGGTCCTTTTCCTACGTTCATTCTCCAGTGACTAGAACTAATGTGATTTCCTTCTATGTTCTTCCCAACCTTCCCCTACTGTCCTACACCTCTGAGGCACTTCCGGCAGACTAGTCCCGAGCTGGGCAGGGTCTTTCCAGGGTCTCTCCCAGCCAACCCTGTGGTCCCAAATATGGACCATCCATAATTATGTACAAGGAAGACTGGCCCTCTGAGAACCCCACAGTCTATACGTTTCTATTAGAAGTCCCCAAGTAGGCCATGGCTGGTGTGGCTCAGTGGACTGAGCACCGGCCTGCAAACCAAAGGGCTGCTGGTTCAATTCCCAGTCAGGGCACATGCCTGGATTGCGGGCCAGGTCCCCAATGACAGATGCACACATTGATGTTTCTCTCCCTCTCTTACTCTCTCCCTTCCCCTCTCTAAAAAGAAAAAAATCTTAAAAAGAAAAAATAGAAGTCATTGAGTTGTCTCTTTCCCAACCAGTTCCTGTCGGAATCTCCCTTCAGCTGCTAAGGGGATTCCATTTTTTTAAAAAGATTTTATTTATTTATTTTTAGAGAGAGGAGGGGGGAGAAAGAGAGGGAGAGAAACATTAATGTGAGAAACACGAATCATTTGCCCCTTGCATGTGCCCCAATTGGCAACAGAACCCACAACCCAGGCATGTGTCCAGACCAAGAACTGAACTGGTGAACTTCTGCTTTGCCCAACCAGCTGAGCCACACCAGTCAGGGCTCAGTTTTGTTTTGTTTTTTTTTAATCCTCACCTAAAGATGTTTATTGATTTTAGAGAGAGAGGAAGTGGGGGGAGAGAAAGAGAAACACTGACATGAGAAACATGGATCCATTGCCTCCTGCACATACCCTGACCAGGGATTGAACCCACAACCTTTTGGTGCATGAGACAATACTCCAACCAACTGAGCCACCTGGCCAGGGCAAGGTAATCATCCCTTAAAGAATTCAAGTGTCTGTGAAGTGACTTTGTCTAAAGCTGCTTCCCAGGCCTCACCCTGAAACTGTCACCACTTGAGTTCTCCAGGCTCTATGCTGGTGACAGGAATGCATGGTGTGAAGGATATCACCTGGATTCCACATTGGAGGGGCCATTTGGGGTTCTAGGTTGGCAAGCAAGCCACTTAGTGCTTGCTCCAGGGCCAGAGCTCACAGACTCACACACAGTAGCCACAATGGTCCAGCCCACCGCAGACCCAATAATCATCCTTCACCCTAAATCCAGCCTGGCCTTAGATTATGCCCCCCTCAACATAGGGCTGCAAGTAACAATTAACATTTAACAATCAAGATGCAACCCTCTTTGGCATGTTTTCATAACACCATGGAGTCATCCTATTTCTGAATGGAGAAACATTGGAAATGTGGTAGGAGTCACAGTAAATTTGGATTGATGAGATAGGTGTCTTGACCTTAGTAGTGTTGGCCACGTGGCCTGGTAGAAGCTGCCATCTTGATTTATGAAGTTTCCAGGAATTTCCCCTTATTCCTGATACCTCAAAGTTGGTGTCTGTGCCGCAACCACAGGTCGAGCAGGGCCCCACCACTCGCAGGACCGTGTGGCGATCTGCATCCTGAATGGAAAACTTGGGGAGGAAGGGATGCCAGGTCTGTAGCACGTGGCCAATGGTGGTGCCGGGTGGAGACTGTACTTCCATCTGAAGTGGGAGGCAGACAGGGTTACTGCTGAGTCAGGGCACCCTGGCCCAAGATCTCATTATTCCAGCCCTGTCTCCTGTTTATCTTCAAAAGACCTCTTTCAGTAGACCACCTGTTATCCCTCTCACTAGACCTCCGATGCCAGCTGTTCACACCCATGCCTCATGCTCGTGACGCTCCATCATTGGTCCTCTGCATTACTGCCTATCCCCTATCCAAACCTCTCCCTGACCCATCCCTCTCCACCCACCTCCTGGAGGCCGCAGGGGCAGCAGCTGCAGCCACAGTGGAGTGGGCGGAGCAGGCGCAGCACCTCTCTGTCCCCAGGGTCCACCAGACGGACACGAAGGGGCCGGCGGGCGCCACAGCACAGACGGGCACAGCAGTTGCTCTCTTCAGCCGCCTGACCCAGGGGCTGCCCAGCCCCTGAGCGCAGTTCATACCGGTTACTTGTCTCCCAGCCTAGGAGTGCTGCCAATGGGTGACAGGGAGGCTCAGGCATCAGAGCCTACCCAAGAGTCCACTATCTCCGTCCCCCATCACAAGGCCCAACCTACTCGTCCTTCAACTCACTTTCCACTCGTTCAGCCTTCTGGTGAATCAAGATCTGATCGATCTGGAAAAAGAGTAAGGGCCATGACCACCTCAGCTGGCAGGCCTGCATCCTTTGGTCGCTTCCCAGTCATTCCTCCCTCCACACCTCCTACTCACCTGCACCAGGAATTCGAGGCCAGAAGGCACCCCGGGCAGTGGCAAGAGAGGGGCAGCAGGCCCTGGGACACTAGGGCCAGGTGAGGGGAAGAGAGCGAAGCCAGGAGCAGGGGCAGGCACGTGGGTGGGCAATGGCGCCTGCCCTGACCCAGGATGCTGTGCTGCCTCTGGGTACCCAGCAGTCACAGGGTAGGGAGGAGGGGGCGAAGGGGTGTAGCCTTTGGGGGGCAAGTATCCTGTAGGGGGACAAGGGTAGATAAGAAAGGAACCTGTGGCCACATCCCCTTTCCTTTAGCCCGTGGGAGACCGCGAGGCTGCAGGGGAAATGTGGTGAGAACAGACTGACAAAGGTAGGGAGGAGAAGCAGGGCGGAGGCTTCCTGGGAGGAAGGGAGGGGCCCCACCCAGCCAGTCCGAGCACATTCCTGGAGGATGCGTTTGACACCCATCTCCCAAGTCCGTGGGGAGGGGATAACGGAGACCCTCAGCCTTGCATCCACTCACCTGCCATTGGAAAGGGATGAGGGTTCGTGGGTTGTGGGTGTCCCGGAAGCGCTTAGTTCTAGAAGTGGAGGCAACCTCGGAGACAGCCAGACAGACACAGAGACAGACACAAAGACGGACAGGAAAACGCGAAGAGACAGCTGCGCCCGGTGCCCACCCAGGGTCTTTTGGGCGGCACCTTTCTGACTCGGGGAGAAACCGAAAGTGTCAGCAGTCGGGGCAGAGTGCCTGGGACCCTGGATTCCCTCTGGGGTTTCCAGAACCGCCCCCTCCCTTTGTTCTCCCATTCTCCGCGGAGGCGGCTGTTAGCAAACGGCAGGACAGATGGACCCGCAATCAGACCGACGGCCCGACCTCGAGGGAGGTGTCCTGACCCTTCTGCGCCCCGCAGCTCACCTGAAGCCCCTAGAGTAGTGGGGTGCCCAGCGCTCCGAGGCTCACGAGAGCTAGTGGAGGCGGGCCCAGATGTGACCCCGCCCCTTAGACCGTCTAGGTCCCGCCCCTGGCCTGGAAGCCGCGCTTGCGTAGAAAGGATGTCTGCTCTCCAGCCTGGCGGTGGACACTGGAGCGCGGGTTCCTTTGCTTGGTTGGCGTCTCCGCCTCTTCCGTTTGACTGCCGAAGGCCAGAGAGGAAGCTCTCTCGGGGAGGGCACCCTGCTGAGGCCTATTCCTGCTACCCCCGCTACGTCTGCGTGCGGTCAGTGCTCAACGCCCCTTGATAGAAAGCGAGGGCAGTTGGCACCGGTCGGGACCCCAGGCTCCTTCTCCCAACGGCGATTCGGGCCTCGCTGACGCAAAGGAACACCCTTCACACTCATTCATTGGACTCTAGAACTAGTTCCTGGCTCCCTTTCTACCTCCCTGGAGCTCCCTCGCTGGCTGTCTCTTCTCCCTGATGCTACAGTGACCCATATAGATACCTTGCAATGATAGTACTTACTTCGCGCGTGCTGGGCCGCACCAGTGACAGGTAGTCACATAGTGTCAACAGTGAGTGTGCAGGATGTTAGATTCAGGGAGACCAGAAGAGGCAGCACAATTAGCAGGAAAGGCTTCCTCCAAAAGTAATCCCTTCTTTTAAGTCCTAGGCAGGGTCTCCAGTTGTGAGGGAGTCCTCCGCCTTGGGGTCCTATAGGTTAAATGGCAAGAGATGAGTTTAGAGAGGGAGGCCAGCTTATGTGCACAGATGCCTGTTGGAGTTGGGACTTGGTCCCAAGGGCATCAGGGAGCCCACTGAAAGATTTTTAAGACCATATGTAATTAAGAAAAGTTTAAGGTCTAATTTTGTTTTAGAAACACCATTAAAACTGCAATGCGGAGAACAATGGGGACACCGAGGCTGAGTTGTTGGCAGTAGACTGGGGGAGAAGATGGCTGGGGCAGACAGATTGAAGTGGCAGATTTTGGAGATATTTAGACAATAGAGAACTTGTTTGGGGCCCTTACCTGTGTGGCTCAGTTGGTTGGGTGTCGTACAACTAAGTAAAAGGTCACTCGTTTAATTCCCTTCCTATTAGGGAATGTGTCCGGGCTGCAGGCCAGTCCCCAGTGAGGCATGTGCAAGATGCAACCAATCATTGTTTCTCTCACACATCCATGTCTCTCCTTCTCCTCCCTTTCTTCCCCTCTCTCTAAGAATAAATAATTTTTGAAAAACAAAACTTGTTTGGGGATGAGATGTGATGGTAAAAAAGTCAAGGATGACCTCAAGTGCCTGCCTATTGATCAGGCTGATGAAAGAGAAACTCATCAAGATAAACATGGGGAGCCCTGGCTGGTGACACTCAGTGGATTGAGTGCTGGCCTGCAAACCATAGGATCACTGGTTCGATTCCCAGTCAGGGCACATGCCTGGGTTGCGGGCTGCGTCCCCAGTTGGGGGCATGTGAGAGGCAACGACACATCAATGTTTATCTCCCTCTCTTTCCCTCTTCCTTCCCCTCTCTCTAAAAATAAATAAATAAACTCTTTTAAAAAATAAAATAAAGAGTGTGGATTAGGAAGGCATCACCAGGAAGGTGATAGTTAAGTATAAACTTAAAGGAGGTCAAGGGCTGAGACTTGGAGACTTCTAAGTGAAGAGTGTTTCAAGGAGAGGAAACAGCCCAAGGACCTGGAGGCAGAAGCATGCTTTACTTGTTCAGTGAACAAAAAGAAGGCTAATGTAGCTGGAACAGAATGAATGAGAGGAAGGTAAGAGAGGTCACAGGAGGCCAGGTCACATACAGCCATGTAGACCGTTGGATTACATTTTGAGTAAGATGGGAAATAGTAGAGGGTTCAGAGACATGAGACTCATATACTGAAACAATAGTCTTCAACTCGTCACAAGTTAGAATCAGCTGGGGTGCTTTAAAAAGTTGGGCCCCACTTTATATAATCTAACTTAGAATATCTGGGGTGAGATGCAGACATAACTTTTTGAGAATTCTTCAGCAGATTTTAATGTGCAGCTAAGGCTGAGGACTACTGTTTGGTGTTCTCTCTCTCCCCTCCCTCTCCTTTGTCCAGAGTAGGCAATAGGTAGGAAAGGCAGAAGAAGACCCTTGCAAAAAACTAGGTAACATTTGATGGTGGCTTTGGGCTAGGGGCCAGAGTGGTAGCAGTGCTGGTAGGGGGAAATGGTGAAGATTCCAGCTATGTCTTTGAGCCAACAGCACTTGATGATGGCTTGGATGTAGGATGTGGGAAAAAGGGAAGTCAAAGTTGACTCAGGCTTGGCCCAGGAGACCCTTCACAGAGTGGGCTCCACGTTTACTCTCGTCTTTTCTGGCTGCCCACTCCATCCTAAGTGCTCCAGGCACTCCTGTTTTCCCTCCTGGGTTTTTTAAAAAGATTTTTATTAATTTACTTTTAGAGAAGAAGAGTGGGAGAAAAAGGAGATAAACAGTGTGTGAGAGATACAGCAATCAGTTGCCTCTTGCACACCCCCAACTGGGGACCAGGTCCCCCAACCCAGACATGTGCCCTGACTGGGAATCTGACAGGCAACCTTTCAGTTTGTGGGACATCACCCAACCAGGCCACATCAGTCAGGACTCCCTCTTATTTTGTTAGCAGTGTGATTTTGTCCCTTTAATTATGCATGCTGAAAACCCAGCGGTAGACTGAAATCTTACCAGTTTCCAAAGGCAAAACAAACCCACTGTTTCAATGTTACAATGTGTTTCTACTTGTAAGGGTGAACACAGTATCAAATTATGTTTTAAAGAGTCTATCTTCACTGTTTTTTTGTTGTTGTTGTATATAAAGTGTTTGTTGAGATGATTCCCCACTCATCTTGATTCGGGGTGGTTTTAGTGCTGCGTCCTTCTGAAAGAACATACTTCTGGAAGCCCGGCTTTTCCTCCTGTAGTCCATCAGAGAAGCCAACACACAAAATGACCGCTTGTGCATGGCTAAGACGGTGGTGATGTTACAGCGTCCTGGGCACTTCACATCCATGAAGTAGAAATTGGGACTCTGTACCATGAGCTTCTTCTTATGTCTCCTCTTCTCTTTGGAGAGGGTAAAGGAGATTCTTAGCAAGAGGCACGTTGTCATGCAGAGGGCATCGTCTCAAGAAAGTGTCTTCACTGTTGAAATCTGAGTTTCTTGGTATGTGCATGAAGGAAAGAACTTAGCTCTGGGAATTGGACAGAAGAGAGTTTGAATCATAGCTTACTCGGGTCCTAGCTGTATGACATAGACCAAGTCACTGTATTTCTTTTAGCTTCACTTACCACCAACTTTTGGGACTGTTGAGAAGACTGGATGCAATATGTAGTAATAATAGGAACAAATTATCAAACAGGACTTATTTATATTGGTTCCTCAAGAGCCAAGCCCACTGGCAGGACCAAAGCTAAGTAAGGTATTCAGGATCACATTACTGGAGGGTGGCCGTTCCGGAAGCCGAGATCTCCCCCCTAGAGGTTCCCTATGTCCCAGACATTGCCTGAGATGAAGGATGGAAATGGATCAAGAGCACTAAACTGGGAGGTAGGAGCCTGAAGATCCAGTGCATTCTGGGCTACTCTGGAGGTTCCCTTAGGGCTCTTATTTTACTCATCTTTAAATAAATTTAAAAAATATTGTGATCCTCTATGCCTCAGATCATGTCTCATTGCTTAGATATAAACGCTTCAGTGGCTCCCCAACATTTTCAGAAAACAGTCCCAGCTCTCAGCAGTCTCCACTATTTGGCCCTTGCTGTCAGTACCTTTCACTACTACCCTCTCATGATCTTCAAGCCAGTCACCAGGAATCCTTTCAGGTTTTGAATGCACCGGGCTCTCTCCTCATCACCTAACTGCTTCAAGTCTCCACTCAAGTCTAACACTGCTACACTGCAGCTGCTACAGGAGTTGGAACTCAATAGGAACTAAAGTGGGAGATGGAAACTCTGAATTTAAAAGTATGCAGATCCTGCCCTGGCTGGCATGGCTCAGTGGATTGAGTGTGGGCCTGCGAACCTTTAGGATGGCGGTTCAATTCCCAGTCAGGGCACATGCCTGGGTTGTGGGCCAGTTCCCAGCAGGGGATGCACTGGAGGTGACCATACATTGATGTTTCTCTCCCTCCCTCCTTCTCTTCCCCTCTAAAGATAAATAAATAAAATCTTTAAAGAAATGCTTAAAAAAAAAGTATGCAGAGCCTAATTAAAGTTGTGGGGCTAAATGAGATTACCTAAAAATCTTCAATTAGAGAAGTCATCTGTACTTTTTTGAATGCATACCTTCAGAAAAATTAAGTACACAACTCCTGTATATTACACTGATATGCACTTTATAAAACATACACAAAGGTAGAAATTAAAAAGAATGAAATAAAAAACATATATATAGGAGTTCTAATTTCTTCATTAAAATTTGGAAACCAGCCCTGGATGGTATAGGTCAGTGGATTGAGTGTGGGCTGCCACCCAAAGGGTCGACAGTTCAATTTCCCATCAGGGCACATGCCTGGGTTGCGGGCCAGGTCCCTAGTGGAGGCCATGTGAGAGGAACCACACATTGATGTTTCTCTCCCTCTTTCTCCCTTCCTTCCCTCTCTCTAAAAATAAATACAGAAAATCTTTTAAAAATATATAATTAAATTAAAAAATTAGAAACCACTGAATTAAACCAAATAGGGGAGGAAAAGCTAGCTGAGTGGCCACACAGACGGGAAAAAGCAGCAGAGTGGTGTCATGGAAGCAACATGTTGGACTTCAAGGACAGCATGGCCAACTGTGTCAAACGCTGCAGAGAGGCCAAGGAAAATGAGATTGAAAATCATCCATTAGATCTGGCAACCAGGAGGTCATAGTGAGTCACAGGATCCTTCCAAGAGCATTTATGGGAAAGAAATGAAAGACCGACCAGAGTGGGTTGCAGAATAAACTTGAGTCCAGACCTCTCTTCCAAGCTCAAACAACTCGAGTTACCCAGCTACCTGCCTGGCACCTCCAAGTAACATCTCTTACACATTTTGGAAGCAACGTGTCCCAAACTAACCTGATTTGCACCCCCCCCCCCACTAATTGCCCCACCTTTGGTTTTTCCCACCTGAGTAACAGTGCCTCTACCCAATCAGGTGCATAAGCCAGAACTCTCCCTCTCATCCAGTGTGCAAAGCATCAGCAAGTTCTATCAGCACTACCTTAAAACTATATTCTGAATGAGATCACTTTCACCACCTCTCCCACCATAAACCAAGGCACCATCACCATCTCACCCCTGGACCTCATCAGTGGCCTCCTGACTGGTCTCCCTGTTGCCATCCTCCGACTGGTTCTCCAGATATTTTAAACATATCAGATTCTAGCACTCTCACTTTAAAAATCTTTCAACGATTTATTGCTGCACAACAAAGAAATTCCAAGTGTCTGCCTGCAAGGCCTGCACTGGCCATCCAGGCCCCCAATCACTCACCCAGTGTTGACCACACTGATTTTACTTCTTCCAACTCAGTTTTCTCCTGCCTCAAAGATTTTGAACTGCTCCTTTTGGGCCTGTTTTACCAGCTAGTTTTTCTGTCTAGCATACACTTCCTTCCACCTTTTCAAGCGCACCCTCCACTACTCCACAGTTCTATTGCCTCCGTTCTTTTCCTTCAAGCCCAGAACAGCTCCAATGATATATTTCTTTAGTCATTTAAGGTCCATTTCCACTACTAAATAGGAAGTTCTGTTAGGGAAAGGATGGCATCTATCTTGTTCACAGTTGAATTTCCTTGTGTTTGATACA